TCTAAAGTTTTTAATTTAAAATTTTTATATCTAACTTGAATTTTATAATGCATTAAATAAATTCAATACAAATTAAATTTGCAATAATCGTGAAATATTATTTGACAAAAATATATTGTTAAAGATAAATAAATATCGTGATTAAAAAGTTTGTACACATTTCGCAATATCTGTACAAAATATACAAAATGTTTAAGAATATGTATTAAAAATAAAAAGCTATAGTTCCAAATGCAATAATGTAAAAATTTTAACAGATATAGTTTATTTATTTTTAAAGATTGGATTTTTTTGTAGGTGGGTATTTGAATGATGAAGAATATGGAAAGAAATACTCCGCAAAAGTTCATGTTTTCAACAATTTACTCCTAGGCTCTTGTTCTGGCTTGTTGACTGAGACCGGCGCGGTCTCCCTTTGTTACATAATACATAAAAATAATGGTATGTACAAATGTAAGGAAAAATTAGGCACTCAATGAACAAAACGGCGAAATTATAAATGATAGTTTCATCGCGCGCAACATACGAGCGAGTGATATTCCTACAACGTGCAATGTGTATCGATAAAATGATGCACTCAGAGAGCAGAGAATGATAAGTTTGAAAATTACACTGCGAGGTGTGAAAAATAGAGCGCAGCTACGTGACATGGACGCGCCAAACAGAAAAATCAATATATAATACAATCGGTTTCCTTTTTTCCAAATTTTATTCGCCACTCAACTTGTGTCGAGTTCAAGATCCGATTGTTTTGGTGAAATGACTGATGTTGGAATGTTGATGTCGGGTAATAAACATTTTCTGGAATGTGCTCCGCGCAAAGTTTCATAATTTTGTTTTTTTCTTTAAAAATTAAGTCACATTATATCTAAGTACCGCAGTGTCGTTACATAATGTTATTAATGCTCCATCCCATATTTTCGCTGGCCTTCGTGCTCATTATGATAAATAGTATGGATATTCAAAAGGAAGGATTGCTTACTACTCTGATTTTACGCGTATCAATGCGCAATTTTCCCCGTATAGTCTAAACATGTTTGTAGACTAGAGTTCTGGTGTAGTTGATATTGATTTAAATTAAAACGTAAAACTTGCATAAAATATTCTACCTTTTGAAATTTTCCCTTCTCATGTCCAGAGATTCGTGATACTCGCAACCTTCCGATTATACAATCTGATTTCTATCGATTAAATTCGTTCCACCATACGCACTATTATATTAAACGTAAAAAATAAAGACATAATCATGTTGGATGCGAGCGATTTCTCGACATTCTGCCAGTCCGATAAAGTCGATGTTATTCTTCGATCCTTCGTCATATTCTTCAATCCTATATAATGTCTTCTCTTCTAATCATTATTTAATTTTATCAATCGATCGACATACAAATTGCATGATATATCATTGTTTTTTTTTGTTTTTTTTTTCAAGTACTCGACGTAAAAGTCCACATTACGCTGAATAAAATAAGTTATACACCATTTGTCTATTTTTTCTCCATTAAAATATTATGATACACACAAATTACAATTATTTATGCTCGGAGTATAAGAGCCGTTAGTTGTGTGAAACTAGAAAGCCTTTGTCGTTTTGTTTGCAGTCGTAAAAACTGTCTTGTCATACGCGGATGGGATACAATTTGATTTGTACAATTAACTTTATACATATCCTCGTACGATTGATATGATTCCATATTTATGATCGAAGATCGGCGTGCTTGCCAACGTTTGGCGACGTGCGCAAAAATAATATTTATCAATTAGTACAATAACATTCTAAACCGAATGTAATCCTTGGTTCCTGTGAACCAGCCAAAGTTGTCTGTTTTCCCGATACAATCAATCGCCGATGGTACTAAAAAGGATACTATATAATAAAATCCGCAAAATAATATGAATAATTATCGCTGTACATTTGGTCACTCAAGAGTTTTTCCTTAACCATTACTTATCTACGTGTTACGTTTAGTAGTGGGTATTATGCGCTAACGGCCCTTAACCCGCTGATAATATCACAGATGAATGAGTTTCCGTGTTGTGCGTTACATAACGCTATCTAAGATTCCTAACAAGTGCATTGATCCTTTCGATTTTGTCACTGAGCATTCGCCTCTCGGAATCAAGAGCTGTTCTGGCAGACAGGAGTTCATAGATTTTCCGTTCTAATTGAACAGCTTCGGAATGCAAACTGTTGTACTGTGCTATCAGTTTCGATGTTTCACTTGTCAGAATTTTTCTCTCAAGTGTCTTTTCTAAAATCATATACAAAAAAATGTGTGTAAATGTTATATGATATGAGAGTATCACATATGTATCATGTATGTATAATAAAAAAAATTTACCTTTTAGATACTCCTTATAAGCAAACATAACATCCTCGATTCCAGTCCACCTCGGTTTCTCTTTCCTTTCACCTATTTCATCAGTATTCTCACTGATGTCTATAGTTTTACAGTGTTGTTTCACACCATTCTCACCAGGCATAGGTAAAGTAGGGTAGTACATTGGAACTACATTCGGAACTAAGGGTGGTAGCGGTGGTGGACGTTCCGAGATCGGTTTTACTTTAATCCTGTCCAGAAGACGCATTTTTTGAGGTGGTTTTGGTAAAGCTGGAGGATTCTTAGAGTAAACTTTGGCGATTCTTTCACAGTAGGCAGTAACGGAGTTCGCGCTTTTCCGTTTCTTGCGATCTGCTAGAACGTACTGCCATGTCACTTCTGCCTCTGTAATTGCAAATTGCAATTGAAACAATTGTCTTGTTTATTACGTATATTTATGTATATAGAAAAAATTTCATTATGTATAAAATTCTGTATATTACAATCGAATATATAACAGAGATAAAAATATATTACTACAGTTTATATCTATAGCTACAATATTATCAAAATTTAATTAATAATGTATTTACCGTCTCTTTTATTTGGAGGCATAATATCGAGGCCTATAGTCCTGAGAAAGCCTACTTTCGGCTCGAAATCTGACGTGTGAAGTAAAACGTCCGGATGCTCACGCGGAATCGGTAAGACGGACTCTATTACAGGCTCTACTTCCAGAGGTAGTTCTGGTGGATCGGGATTCAGTCTGTACCTTTTCTCAACCTTACACAATTCTATCTCTGCAGAAAAATAATGACGATTTCAATTTACCGAATCAAAATATAAAAAGTAATAATAGCGTTCTATTATCCTCTTACCGTTCCTAATAGTCAGCGTAGTCAATCCAAACATGGCTAGAAAGGTCAATTTGTCTTCCGAATATTGTAGTTTAGCCGGCGGACCTTTCGTGATCCAAAGATCCACGTCTTTGGTTTCCTCCTCGCCCTCCGAGTCGGAGCTACACGTTACGCTCGTGTTCTTTTCCCTCTTCCGTTTACGTCTCTTTTCAGCTAGATCAAGAGATGACGTCAGCTCTTTCTGCATTTCAGGCACCAGGAAAGACTTTTCGCTGCTGGTGATTACATCCTGCTTGACCACTAAAGCCTTACTGAGGTCAGGTACATTTAGCACCGCTGGTTCGCACTTCACGGAAATCTCAGTTAAATTATTGCACTTGTCGGTAAAGCAAAACGCAGTCGTCTTCAATTCGTTGTTGCTTGTCGAAAAATTCAGGAGCTTTTCCTGATATTTCGGTATTTGCAAGAGCACATTGGAAACGTTCTGACAAGTGCGCAACACCTCCTCAGACTTGATACTCTGCATCAGCTGCGTCGTATCCATAGGCTTCTGCGCAATGTCATTTATGCTGAACTTAAAGCTCGATTGAAACGGTAATGTGGACAAGACATTGTTTTGATCGCATTGCGTCTTACTACAATCAATTTCATTTTTGCACTCCTTTTCGCCGACGGTGTAATTCACCGGCTGAAAGGGTGGCAAGCCCTTTTCTTGCTGCTCAAAAGACAGATGCGAGATTGAGGTTTTCTCCTGGAGCGAATTTGTCGCAACGTGATTCTGATTCAACAACTGCGGCTGCCTGATCGGGCTTTCGCTCGCACTTTTCTCATCTGTATTCAGTTTATTGTCCTTTGCTGCAACATCCAAATTATTTTTATGATGCGCGCTTGCATGATTCACAATTTTACTACTGTTAGTAATTTTATTATTAACGCTGAAAGTGCTATTGCTCATTGCTTTTTCATTGGAAACGCAGTTGTTAGTAATACTGTCGTTTCGTTGAATTGCCGTCATCGTCTGATGAGACTCGCTGACATTGAGATGCGCGTTCTGCTGTTTTGTGCCATTCGAATTAGTCACGATATTCGTGCCACCGTTGCCGTGATTGTTGTTGCTGGTATTTGCCATTGGTACATTAAGCTTGGACTGAGAGTGATGCTGTTGATGTGGCGACGAAGATGTTGACGATGATGACGAGAAGTGCGGCGGTTTGTAGAGACTTGACATGTGCGAGACGGATATATGCGGATGATGGTACTGTTGTGGTGGTGGATACGGGATCGGTTGGGAGAACACTGGCTGGTTGTTTATAGACTTACTATCCATGGTTGAGGAATTATTCTCCTGTATCACTTGATTACCAACAACTTGAGAAGTAATCGACGTCATCGATGAAGACTTCAAGGACGGCGGCTCGTGATGACCGATCTGATTGACTATACTGTGACTATTCATTATGGGTTGCCTTTGCTGTGTTTTCGTCGAGGAGGAGCGAAACGAATCCTCGAAGGGTCTGACAAAAGCCGGCTGCGAGGTTGTTGCGATATTCATTGTCGTAGTAGTTATGATTGCCGTCGTAGGCATCGTCGTAGGCAACGTCCCCGCCGTTGTTGTGATTGTTGATAATGGTTCCTTGCTTCTCGGCGCGCCATGAACGCCATGGGATAGCGGTGGGGATTTGCGAGCTATGTGATTTATCGAGTTTAACGTCGACGAAGAACTTGGCGGCATCGGGGCGACGTGTGTCGTCATCGCATTAGACAAAGAGCTCGTAATCGTCGTACTACTTGTACTATTCGCGCGCTGTTGATGTTGTTGCGATGGAGGTTGTTGTTGATGTTGTTGTTGTTGCTGGTGATAGATGGAACTTGTGACTGTAGTAGTCGCGCTGCTCATAATCGTGGCTGCGTGTTGACTAGAATGAATGGTACTTGACGGCACTGGGGGTAAGTGGAGAGAGGGAATAGAGATAATAGGCGTAAGAGATATGCCTAGGGAAAGCGGCGGTGGTCCTATTACACCCGGCGTCAAAGATGGGATGGAGGGCATCGGCGGTGGACCGATCGGCGCCGAGCTTATAGCTGTTGGGGGTGGCGGCGGTCCGAGGTTCAGAGTGGGTAAAGTGGAACCCAAAGGGGGCGGAATAGACGCAGAGCTGACGGAGCATATGGAAGTGGAACTCAAGGAGGGTCCAATGGGCGCAGCTGGACTGGGAAAGGGTGGTAAGCGAGGATGGTAGATAGTGGCTGCTGATGCTGCCGCTGCCGTTGGATCGGAAGGCGCTGGCGGTGGCGGTGCAACTGGCGTAGCAGCGGATTGTTGTTCCTCTTTTCGAGATTGGTGATGATTGCTACTAATGGTGACGGCTGACCCATTGCTATTGGCGTTGTTAGTGCTACTAGTGTTGTTGCCGCTGCAGTTACCAGTGCTGCTGTTAGCGTTGCTCCCGCCGCTGCTATTGTTACCAACACCTCCACCACCACTACCGCTCTGTCGTTCTCTACTGTCGCGTTCTCGGTCCCGCTCGCTATGCATCTGAGCCGTTATGGTCGGCTTCCTAGCTGGAACAAATCCCGAACACAGTGCTTGGTGATCTTCCACTCTACAGTAAAAAAAATCTTGGCCATGGCGATATGTTGTAAGTTTCTCTTTTTGTTATTTTAAACGTTATTTTCACTTATAAAAATATTTAAAAAAAAAAAGATATATGAGAAACATTTTTTAAATAAAGATAAGGTAACATATTGCTATAGCCAAATTTTACAATTTTATGTAATTAAATCAAGACTATCGATGTTTTCAGCACATATCGAATGTAAAAAATAATTGCATTTATCACTATATTTAGATGTCCTGTTAAATTTTGAGACAAATTCGCGCGCGAGGAGAAGGTTTAAGAAAATGTTCATAATTATTATATGATTTCAATCTTATGGGTTTCATACAATTCACATTACGCTATAATTTACGCAGATTAACTGAATTATATCGGCTTTTAATAGCATTTTCAATTAATTGCCGCAATAAATTTATTGTAGATTATTACGCATTTAATAAATTAAAACAACTTACGCAATTAACATACACATGTACATAACAAATATATATATATATATATATATATAGAATGACATATATAACAAAATTTTTGAATTTATTTCCGTATTGATCCATCTATTCCAACTTACCTTACTTTCGTTTACTTTCGTTATTTATTCCAGTCCCCTATAAGAAGATGCTTAATATATTCGCTTCGAAGTATTGGGGATGATTACTGTTATATTTTCAATAAAGCTAAATAAAAAAAAATAAAATGAAGAAAACCAATTATCTTTCTAAACTAACGGGGTAATCGCTATCACCGTTCTAGTATTAACAGTAGCAAGCGCATATTTTTTTATATAATAATAGCAATAAAATAGATATTTAAATAATCGGACTAGGAGTTACCGAATCTTCCCCAAAACTGTTTCAGAAAATGATTCGAGGGTCAAGAGAATTTCAAGTCCATTAGAATTTCAATCACATTTCTTGCAAGTTTTATTTTCATTTATAGTCCAAATATACATGTTTACATAATAAATTATATAAAAATGGTATAATTTTGATAAAAGAACATGTATAATAAAGTTTATATATACATCGCTTAATTCAGTCAGAGTATGAGGAGCAACATGTTTACTATACAATTAAGGGAAACTATGTTGACATTAATTGGTTAATTGGAAAATTTCTAAAACAGTTGCGGGAACTAACGCAAGAGTGCATTGCGCCTGATGAAAAAAACACTCAATACTTAAATCATTACAGTCCATTAAATTGCAGATTTACGCACGAACACCTACCTAAAAGTCCACGCCTTGAAATTATATAAACATTCAAACACGTGTAATGTAGCCATCATATCAGTAATCATCAAAAATTATATTCTGCAATAATTTAACAATTCTAGTAAATAAAAACTGTAATTTATAACACCTAATAGACACTATTATATAAAAATGAACTCTTCGAATCATAGAATGTCAATGCACGTATATTGATATTTTACTTACATCTTAACAATAACGAATATAGAAAGAAAATAAAAATATCTTGCTGTCAAGAAAAAATTAAAAATAATCTCTAAAAAAAAAAAAATTATTTATTGTATATAACAGTAGTCATCTCCATTCCATATACAAGATGTACTGTATAATTGGTTAGTCGTACCATATTAGAACATCCTGTATGTCAATTTTTTTTGCAATGTTAAAACTCAACAAAAAGCTAGCCCTTTTTCTTTAAAGGCGTGCACTCTTATGTTTAAGTTTCGCTATGTTATCAACTATAAAAAACAATTAACTATATAACCAACCTGTCGTCGTACACTAAGAGTGTAGTTTCACATTTGAATGCTACAGAAAACGATTTGAAATGTTTATGCGAAGAATACATAACAGATCGTATACATAACAAGTGAATGGCCGACCGAAGGCCGACTTATTTGTTGATTTGACATTAACAGAAGATGACAGTAGCAGATAAGTCTGACTTCGGTTCGGTAAGTAGATAAAAGAAAACAGCTAAATCGGGTCTCGGAAAAATTTGATTGTAATTTGTTCGTATTCTAAATCGAAACTAGAATGGGTAAATATCTTTTGCCGCTAAGCCCACTTTTTGACAATTTGTTGAGTATCGAGCCGAAGAGCAATTTTGTGTTAAGGTAGACATATACCGAGCGAACGACAACGAACACAAAGCGAATGCCAAATTAAATTTATTTGAAATTTTCTTTTTGATACACCGTCCTACGAGCGAACCGTTAATATACGTTTTATTCGCATTTGTTCGCGCACACTCTTCCAAAAATTCGCATTCGTTATTTAAACGTTCAACATTCGCTGGCAGTGTATACTTACTACCCATCTTTAGACCTGCTCGGGCATCAAATCATGTGCTTATCTAAAAAATATCAACGCTACTTTCGTAAGAAACGAGTATAACTATATGTGACTCTCGTTAAATCTAGATTAAAATTAGAAGCGTAATATGTTGTTTGTTCTTTCTTTTCGAATTCTCTCACTGGGTCACAGTTATATTTCTACAACTTCTCCTCGCTCGCGCCGCCAGTCCGTCTATATACTTTGAAGAACTTTGGCTCGCAGTACAGGTCGTTCAAACGTCGAATCAACGACGCAACTGCCGCTGAGAGTATAACTCGCTTGGCGAATTCGAGATCTCGGGACTAAAATTACACGAAACAACGTGCGCGGGGCAAACAACGAGTCGTGGCAACGCGTATGCAGATATCGTCGATTCGGCATAGCGGAGTTCTCGATACCGTTCCATGAAGATGCTAACTACGTAGCTTATAAAGTGGATATGGCCAAACGAGAAAAACTTGACAATTCGCACGATATATCAATATATCATGGCAATGCCGCCGCCAAAAAGTTTCGCAGCGGGAAAAAAGAAAGGAAGAAGGAAATAAAGAAAGAGCTTGCGCGCCTTCTTAACGAACGATCGCGCTTTGATCGACGCTTTCTTTTTTTAATGAAAGGCAGTGGGGGGTGGAGCGACTCGCTCACCTGCAGTATCAGCGGATGCAGGTGCAGGCGCGGGTACCGGGGCAGCGGGAGCAGAACTTCTCGCTACTCTTCTCCTTTCCTCCTCCTCTCGCAACGCAGCCTGCTCCCGTGCTTGCCGCAGCCTATGCTCCTCCTCCAGTTTCAGTCTGAAAAATAAGAGAATCGTACCGCAATGTTAATAAAGAAATTCGGCATTTCTGACTGCTTCGTCCATTCTTTCTTTTTTTTTCTATCTGTCTTTCTCCCTTCCTCCCTCTCTTCCTCTCTCTCTCTCTCTCTCTCTCTCTCTCTCTCTCTTTCTGAATCTTTTACTTACCGTTCATGCATCACGGGAGGCATAAGACTTAGTGAAGCGGGAGGCGGAGGAAGCATGTCTGGACTGTATCTTAATCCGTATAGAGGATACGACGGCAATCCAGGAAACAACGGCGGTCTCATTATTCCGCACCGTTCCAGATATAATTGTTCCTCGAATCTGAAATTAAAAAAAGCATGAAAACTGTTAAACTTTATAGTTGGCTTTTCAATAAATGCAAATAAAAAAGATTTCTATTGAAATTAGTAATTAAAAAGTATCGTCAAGATCCTGCTTTTCTCTCTTGAAAATGTCAAGATGAAAGCAACATCATTGCTTACCTATAAGCGTGCTGTAGATGTGGTGGTGTATAAAGACTGGGATGATAGGCGCTATAGGTCGCGGGATCCAAGGCAAATGCCGGTGGATGGGCCGGATGATGCTCAGGCCGGTACGGCTGAAAACCGGAACGAGCCAGTAATTCGGAAGCCGCGGCAGTTGCACTGTGCTTGCTAGTTTCAACGGGTCTGGCAGTTGTTGTGTACAAGGAAGGAATCTCCTCGGGCCTTCGTTCGTGCGTCGATCGCTCCTATAAAAGCAGATTTAGCCATATTTTTCAGTTAATGCAATAAACATAATAGAATGAATTTCTTATTATCGCAATATAATGGATCACTTTAATAAATAAAATACGTTTAATTAGTATGATTTTCTCGCAATTATAATTTTAAAAATATCAAATTATATATACTTCGCGTATTATCGAGTTACAGTTTAAAAAAATGATATTTATGCGCGAATACAGATTTTTGGAGAAAGAATTTGCAATCTAAAATAGAACACGTCTCTTAGAGTTAATGTTTTCGAGACAATTTCCTGGAAGGCGCGGAGCAATGTAAATTATCTGAAATTTTCTTCATCTTATATCGTATCTTCCGCCACTTGGACGTTACGAGTGATTCTAGCAGTTTATTACCGGGCGTTGTAACGCATTCGTGCACCGAACCGGCAATGGGTTGCCGCTCGAATAACTATACGCCGTAGAAATTGATAGGAAAAACATGTGGACATCAAGATGACAAGCGAAAAATTCATCATTACAGAAAAAAACAACATAAATATTAACTAACTATTAAAAAGATTAAACTGATTGGTTTCTTAAGATTTCCAAATTTAATCAGTTAAAGTCATTCGATTACTTTATTCATGATCTTATTTTTCCGTTATAATGAAAAGAATTATTTCTGCTAATAAAATAATTTACAAAAAAATTTTGCGCACATTTTTAAACTGCAACAACATTAATTAACATCTTTATAATTATTAACCTATTATCTTTTTCTGTTGTAAATAAAAAGGAAAGTATATTCATTCAATTAGGATACTTAATTCAGATCGTCAATAAACGTTTCAGGCTTAGAAAAATCTTGCATTTGCAACGCAATAGCGTCGGCGATACAATCGAGTAAGGAAAAGGGTCTTTGATCTCTTCGATTATCAGAATTGAGCTACCTTATTCGCTTTCCGCCAGAATAAGCACCTTTTTCATTTCGTTACCGAGATTGGTTGCATTTTCGATCTACCTTTGAGCCTTTGACACTCTGCAATCTTGCGAAGCCGTTTGATTCGCATGCCTTTCAAAACATTCTCTTTTTTTTTCCATGCCGTTTGGCATCAATAACTTTATCCCGCCTCGGCACTTTCGCTTTTGACGATAAAATTATGAGATTTAATTTCTAGCAATTATTCTTTAAAATCGTGTGAACTCGAAATGGACCGCATAATATCATACGCATAATATCATAATATCATACATATCAAGATATCTTACAACTCATACGCTTTCCCTCGATTTCATTTTATCGTAAAAATTGAACGAAAGGTCATCTAGAATCTTTTAATTTCCGACTACATTTCTGCTAAAGTTCTACTTTAAATTAATCAAAAAACATTTTATCTCAATAGTATATGTACATTCTTTAATATTTTTTTCCGTGTAATTTGTAATATATATGATTTACAGAAGAGATACGATTTTAGAAATCCCCCGTATGTATCGCAAATTGTAATAATGTTTATCGTAATATAAAATAAATCACATCTCATCAACAGCAGTAAATTCAAAAAATTCCAGTAAGAACACAAATATATGCACCCTCTTCTCACTCGCCTATACTCTTCTACATTTATTTACAACATTTCTCATTGACCAACCGTATAAAAAAAAAAGCGTTGTCCACATTGTAGCCCAAAGTCGGATGCAAAACGACCGATGTCACATACAACGATTTTTTTCAACCACGTTCGCTATGTATCTAAGCACTCGCTTATTATTCCGATCATAGGATCTGAGTTCGAGGGTGCCATTGTCCGTGTTCCGAAGCGGATGCACTTCTGTGCCAAAAACGAAAGAGGCCGAGAGAAGAATAAAGTAGACATATGGCCCCAGCAATTACTCACCTTAGCAGGAGAAGGACCTCTGACCAAAGGCGGTGGCGCCCGGTTCTTCGGACTGGCACGGGGTTCCTCTTCTTGAGGTGCTGGGCCCGCCTGCTTAGCCAGGTTCCTCAAGGCGGCAGCGAAGCTCCTGCTATTCTGCTGCCCGCCCGGTCCAGGTCCCGGGGTGTGACCCTGAGGTAGTACACCGGAACTAGGTCGGTGGGACTTGCCAATCGAGGTTGGCTGAGCTTTGGTGCTGGCAGGCTGTAAACCTGAAAGAGAGCGGAAGAGGTCAGCGCCCGTGTGAAATTATTCGCTCACGCATAACTCAACCTAAAATGTACGGATGTGTATTTTTTTGGCTTTGATGATTGACATGGCACGGTAAATCGATTACTTTTGACATAAATCATATGTCGCGCATTCAACATGATTTCATTAATGCCGCGGCTCGTTACGTTCCTCGAAATGATTACATTTTCGTGAAGATTCAAAATATATACATATACGTATTGTTTCAAAAATACATATATCACAACACGCCTTATTATCCTGAATGAGAATTAAATTAACTCGAATGCCATTTACTTAGATCTTATACCTATACATGTCTCATAATAGTTCACGATAACAAATTTTCGATAACGTATACGTTTCATACATTCGCTGTGAAAGAGGCGTTATCGAGTGAAGATTAACGAGCGATTCCGTCGTCTCTGCACACGTGCATTCTCTTTCTCGTGCTCGGTAACGAGCGTGCCTCATAATTCTTCGCAGGGTCGGAGGTCGTGCTCGTGTTGACGTGACCCGCCGGGGAGGTCGACCAAGCATGATCGACTTCGTGGGAGATTAATTATGAGGCGGGCGGCGGAAGGTAGACAAGAAAGGGAGTAAGTATTAACGAGTGTGTATAGCACGCAAAGGCGGTCATATATAAAAATATGAGTATTCCCTCACTTGGACTCATATATGATCAATCAATTTAAAGTCTCCAATTTTTATTACCATTTAAATTTTAGAAATTCTAATAAATTATTCATTTTTCCAAATAACTACATAGCATCACACAATTGCCAACTCCCCGTGATTTCAAAAAACGTAAGCGACAAATAACGCAGTTGTTAATGTAGTGGCGTAAGCAGATAGAAAAAGAAGAGAGAAAGCATTTAATAATTAGAAATTAACCAATTGCTATTAACTTACTTCATTAAGCAGAAATTGTTGACCGTAACAAGTGAAATGACGACTATCATGAACAAAATTGCTCGATCGAACGATCGCTACGATTTCTTTTCTCGAATTTCTGACTATATATATATATATAGCGGAAGTGATGAGTGATAAAACGCGATGCGCGTTACGTCGCGGTAATGGCAATAATAATTAGGATTTACGGCGAAGAGCAATATCGTCGGCCGTTGCGCGCAAACCGACATTTGTTAATTAGACAAACGACAATTAATCGCTGTTTACGCAACTGGTAAAGCAAATCAACAAAGTAGAAATAACTTTAATTTTGGTATAATTATAAATTGTGTTGAAGCTTAAGAAAAATATATGCAACATAATAATAAGCAAGGTAAAGAAATGCTTTTATTGCAAAGATACGCAGCGGCAAGCGAAGAAACATTGAAGTTTAACTTAATCAGTTAAATTTTAACTTGAACCGTAATTTAAGCTATAGTGGAAAAATATTGTGGATTGCAAATTTTCTTGGACGCTATAATAAGAACAATATACATATACACCTATTTTTCAAGGAACCTAAGAAATTATTCCGCATTATTTAATGTGCATTGTTAATTACAACATTTTTCAATTAACGGATGCAGAAATGCTTAATTTGATCCGTACCTTTTATTATGTAAAAATATACCACGTGCAACTTTGTGGTTTAATTAAACAGTGTTATAGGGCAACATTCTTGACACCAATGTGATGCATTTCATAATATATTGCATTTTCATGACATTGTTTTCTCTGCTTCTAGCATGACATTGCGTTGCATATAAACAACACTGCATATAAAGTTGCAATCTTGCGCTATTGCATAAAGCGTTGACATTTCGACATCCGGTTGTTGTGCCACAAAGTTAAATAAGGTTGATAGAGTAATCAAAATCATCTAAACGCAATAACGTAATAATTTTACTATAATATAATAGTTGTTATAGAATATCGAGATCAAGTTTTTGGAAATAAAAGAAACAGTTTATATAGCTTAGAATCTTTACGCTTTACGTACATTCGACTTTTTCTCTATTATCTCTGTCTTAAATAATTTTTTAAATTTCAGAACAGTAAATTTAAATTTGCTTTTGCATTTGATAGCTCGTCAGATTTTTCAAATAACCGATTCAATTAAAAATCACTCATTTAATATTTGTTCCATGTAAGGATTTTCCTTCTTTTCAATCGCATCTTTTTCGACGTTTTCTACCAAATCGAAAAAAAACATACAATGAATGAATGTCGAACAATGAGAAGGGTATTATTGCCTCTCAAGTATTTCGTCTCGGATGCAAAGAAATTCAAAAGAGATTTTGCCAAGGCGAATATCAAGGCCGCTTTATATCGATCTAACCAATATTATTAAAGCGAGAGTTAAATAGTTAAATAATTAAATAATTAAAACGAGAAGATAAAGAGATAACGCCAGATAATACCTTTCTCTCGGGCGGGTAATCTACTCGTTATTGAATTCTTATCAGCGGAGTGCAGATGTCTTTGCCCTGCTGCAATCTCTCTTTTTTTCTTTTTCTTTAGACTATTTTCATCATCCTCATCTTTATTCATTTTTCTTTTCTCTCATCATCTACTATTTTTTTCCGTCTCCAAAACTGGAATCAAACATCTTTCCGCTTGTATTGTTCATTTTTCGTCATTCAATTTCCACGTTTCGATATCCGCTCGGAAAATATTAACAACATTTGGGAACAATTTTTCTGGTAAATATGGCGACAATACATGTCACGCTGATCGTTAAACGCAAAGACAAAAAGGCATCCGTCATTGATTTTTTTTCCCCCAGTATTTTTCCGCAGTGACTGAAAAGATTTGTCCGCCTCGTGAAGAACGCTCTCATTTCAACAACAGAATATCTCTCGCCATTCTCTCCTTTGTTCTCGCAGACTCTTGGTCGGACTCTGTTTCTTTATTCGTAGCATCTCACCCCTACTCTGATTTGAATAAACTGCGAGATGTCGCGTCCGACAGAATCCGCTCGCGCACTTGGTCGTCGAAACTTCCGACCACAAGTTCTTTCCCTTTTTCATACGATCGGGATTAGCTAGTTTACTTCCACCATCTTTCTCACGATATTCCATCACGCTAATCGTCGTCGTCCCTCCTCTCAGTTTGAATACATCTCCGAAGGAGCGATCGCTCGATGACAGATATTCCCTCTGTCAAATCGAGGGACTTCTCGCCCGCTCGTTACCGACAAGGGTGCGAAAACGTGCTCGATCGCAGAGAAGCGGGGAGAAGGCTGACAAGAAGGGGAGTAAGAGGCGAAGAGGGGAAAACGACATTTACTACCACCCGTTCTGCCACGAGTATCACTGCGGGTTGGGTTGACTCGGTGCCACGAGGATTCCGTCGGGTTCGGAAGAGAAGGAGACTCTACAGCAAGGGGGAGAACAGAGTTGCTCAGGGATAAGAGGGGAAAGAGGGTTAAGCGGCTTACAGTCTGTTACCATGGTAACGCCACACCACTAAGACAGGAAGAGAGCCTGAATCCGGCCCGTTACGGTCCCTGCCGACTCTCTCAGTACACCCCATCAACGGCGTTCTCCCCGCGAAAGAGCAAAGGGAGAAGAATGACGAGGACGGCCAAGGGGGTGCAGGAGAAGAGACGAGAGGACGAACGGCGCGTGGGTGGGGGATGGTGGCGACCGGATTACGTCGCTAACTCTGTTTTTACACCCAAGTGTTTTCACCGAGCGCTTCCGATATACGGGATATGTCGCGTAAATAGCACCTGCTCTCTTTCTTTCTTCCTCTCACTCCTCAATGAGTAAAATTATCGGTCCTCTCTTAGCGAAAAATATCGATCCGCCGCTATTCTCTTTAGCTGTTTTAAGTTTTCAACCTGAGATATCTGGGCGATTAAGTGCGAAATAAAAAGAAGCAAAGAGAAGATAAACTGTAATCCGAATAAAAATGAAAATGATAACAGACTCATCAATAAATGCCTTTTCAGAATGTTTTTGACACACACATTAACGTATAAAATATATCAAAATATTTCAAAGATCGAAAGTTTTCGTATATAATTAAATCAGATAATATTCGTGCCAACTCGATCTTTAGCTATTCAAAATTTCAGAATCAAGCGAAATATGAAGGCGAGGTTTCGCGAGTTTAACATCGAGCTGTGCAAACTCGCGAAGACTCATGAGAAAGTTTGTATTAATGGCGCGTTATACGCGGCGCACAGACGAGAGTATCGCTTCATCTCGCGTGTCAACTGCAACACCTCGCCGTGCAACATTGGTGCGATGAAGTTATTGCGATTCGTGTTTACTGGGCCATTATATGCCGTGTTCCGGATTATAAGACTGGGCGTAGCCGAGTCGCTCGCGCGATAAGGCTCGGCAAAGCTCGAACGACAACGTTCGTTGTCAGGAAGTTCGCCAAGTGCTTAAGGACACGAAGTCTCCAGACCATGCATACAAGTGATATTAACGAGCCAACGACAAAGTCGCGACATAACGTTAAGTAATATTGACGCGGCGACTTCTTGGAGTCAAATAATAGAGCACGCTTTTATTTAAGGAACTTTAGATTCCTTTTAATATGCTATAATATACGAAAATATTATCCACTGTATTTTTAATGCAATATATAAAATATGATAAAACATTTGTTTAAACGCAGTGAGCGAACGGCACGCAAATATACCGAGATCATGCTGCATGAAGGGATACAATGCATTAAACCGATGAACAGATCAAAGAAAATTCTCTGTATGTTACCATAGAGGCGTGCCAGTTTAATATTATCGATAATTATAATTTTCGTTCATGCGACGGATATTAATCGACGATGCCAAACGCACAAAGAGATAATTATTGTCGCGTCACTGAAAAGGGAAAAGCGAAGCGATCATCATTCTATATCGTTTAGAGAGTCACGGACCGGCCGTGATAATAAAATGTTCATTACGAGTACAGAGATATCGAGGCAAAACAGCAGATTCATCCATCATTTGAGATTTATCTAATCTCGTTCTTTCAGAGATACTAGAACACATACATATCAATTCTTAAAT